CATGAAACACAATTTTCCTCTATTTCTTTAATGCTTCCTCTCCTACCACTATCATGACCCCAATTCTACCTTGCAAATCCAGCTGGACCAGAGCATGTACACAGGTACAGATAAGAGCTAACACAGGGAATCCAGGACAGATAAACCCCTCAGGACCAATAATGAGTAGCCATACCAGGAGGGTAAGGGAAATGTGGGGGGAGGAAGGGGAACCAATCACAATGATGGACATATAACCCGCTCCTAGGGAGACGAACCACAGAAAAGTGGGTGAAGGGAGACAGTAGTTGGTGTAAGACATGAAAAAGTATAAATTATCAAGGGTTCATGAGGGAGGGAGAGTGGGGGCGGGGGGAATGAGTATTGTTAGGGGGAAATAACCCAACAAGTAGGGTATTTTCTGTGGTAAATATCAAGACTTTAAGCCCTGGGTTATCTAGTGCTATTATGTCAGAAATATCACAAGGGAGTAGTTTCAACAAAGCTTTTCTGTCTATAAAGCTAGAAGTCTGAAGTTAGGGTGCTAGCTCTAGGGAAAAGCTTTTTTCTCTGTGGACACCAAGGGCTCAAGTAGAAAGAAATGTTTTGAAAATGATGATGGCAACATATGTACAAATGTTCTTGACACAATGGATGGAAGGATAAATTGTGTTAAGAGCTACAAGAGCCAAATAAAATAATAAAAAAAGTAAATAAAAGCCTCCTAAATCCCTGATTATACAAATAGTTTTTTGTCCTCAAAATGATCAACTGAGCACGAGTAATGACAATGGATCACAGACTTGGAACCATGATCTGTTCTAGGGCCAAAGGTTACAGAAGAAAACCTTTTTGCTCCCCACTGTAGTGAGGCCATTTGCATATCGAGCATGCTGAGATCTAACAGCTCTTATAAAACAGTGTCTCATAAGAAGAACGTGGGGTGGCGTGCAGGTAAGTGCTCCAGAGGCAGCACTACTTCCCAAAGGTCCCAACCTTGAAAATGCAATGGTGCATGTTTGTTCTGCATGCACAGGGTTGCCATGGCTAGGAATCAACATATGAACAAATGTCTTCGCATGATACAGACGTGTTGCTTCACCCAAAGGAAGAAAACTGCTCATGTATCTGGGTATCCATTAATCACTTACATTTTCCTTATTTATAGACGAACTGCACAGTACATCTTTCTTTCTGTGGCTGTGGTCCAAAGAATTCGGAGTGCTACACAGCAGCTGTGCGTATAAGAGAATATTTCTGTGAACATCTAGCATTTTTGAGCCATGGATGAGTTAAAAACCCTTTGCCTTACACCCAAGAAACAAGCCCAAACTCAAGGAGGGGCTACTCACTGTGCTGCCTTTTATAAGATCCTGATGATGATTCCTGTAGATCAAAGCAAACTACCAGTCAGCTAAGCCCCAAATATTGTTCCATCTTTTTTCAATGGCTTAGAGCATCTCAACTTTTCCTTTCTTCAATTAACTGTAGGAATCCTAAACTTTTATCTAGTTGATATCTCTTCTAATGCCAAAAAACACAAGGAGCCCTGCTGGAGTAGTGGATTACACATTGGGCTGCTAACCACAAGTTCAATAGTTTGAAACATGAGGCTTTCTACTCCTGTAAAGATTTAGTTTTGGAAACCCAAAGAGCAGTTCTACTAAGTCCTATAGGGTTGTTATGAGTCAAAGTTGACAATAGCAGTGAGTTTGTGTTGAGTTAATGCCAACAAGTAGGGTATTCTCTGTGGTAAATATCAAGACTTTAAGCCCTTGGTTATCTAGTGCTATTATGTCAGAAATACCATGAGTAATTTCAACGAAACTTTTCTGTCTATAAAATTAGAAGTCTGAAGTTAGGGTGCTACCCGGTTTCCCCGAAAGTAAGACATCCCCCGAAAATAAGACCTATTTACAGTTTTGCCTCTTGCTGAAATATAAGGCATCCCCTCGAAAATAAAACCTTCCCGAAAATATGGCCCCCAAAGCTACTATAACCCTGGACTGTAGCAGCGGGCCGCTGCACAGCTCACTGTTGGCCACAGCACAGCCGGATCAGATAGGAAGTACAAGGTTTCTTTTAATAAAACAATAAATGTGTACCGTATTCTTCTTCATAGAAAAATAAGATATCCTCTGAAAATAAGACCTAGCGCATCTTTGGGAACAAAAATTAATATGACAGTGTCTTATTTTCGGGGAAATAGGGTAGCTCTACGGAAAAGCCTTTTCTCTCTGTTGGCTCTGGGGAGTCTTTGTGCCCTGGTGATCTTCCTGTGGTGGCACCCCCTACCTCTGCTTACTTCTCTAATCTGTCCTCTCGTATCTCAAGATTGCTTTAAAATATACCTGATGTCTAATTATATGTAACAAGGAAGACTTTTTGCCCAAATTGGATTAAAACCACAGGTATAGGGTTAAGGATTCTGGGGTGAGCACAACCGAATCCACAGCAAGGCCTCAAATTTCACTGGTATGATCCTATGTATGGATACATCAAAGATGAATATGTCTTCATCTCCTGCAGACACAATAATTGTTCCTCCCTAATTTTCCAGTTTAACTAGTAAGGATTAATATACATGAGAGGGCTTCAAAAAGCTTATGAAAAACTTTTTTTAAATTTCCAGAACATGTGAAGCCCATTTATGGGATTTCTATAAGGGAACATAGGATTCCATTCAGTTTACATGGGTTAGAATATTTTAAGTAATTCAAAGAAAATAAAACCAATATAAAGTGAAAAATTTTCACATCTCATATGTCATATGAGTGGTATTAAAGTGGCATTTAATTCACACTGAAGGTCAAAGTTCCAAAAAGTTTAAAACAGCCTAAAGGAAAGCTTCTAAGCGCCAAGCTCCAAACTCCCAGGATTGAGTCAATTCTGGATTGAATTAAGATGAATTTACATTCCTTGAGTATTGAACATTAAGAACTCCAACAAGAACCCATTATAATAATAGGATACACTATAACATGCTTAGTATGTGCAAGGCTATTTTCAGTTTATTCTTATAATAATAAGAGAAAAGTGCTATTACTATCTTCATGTTATATGTAAACAACCTGAGGTTCAATAACGTTGAGATTTGTCCAGAGTCATACCTAATGTACAACAGAGCAAAACACTGCCCGGTCTTGCACCATCCTCAAGTTGAAGATTTGCTGGGCCAGTTAAATTCAAGGCAGAGGAGTCTGTTAATGGTGACTACTTTTGAGATTACAAAAGGTATGTTGATAGATTTTCTCAAAGGCACAGGAGCTTATTAGGAAGAAGCTTTAAGAAAATTGAAAAAAGAAAAAAAAAAAAGAAAGAAAGTTGAAAACTGTATTGGGGAGGAAAAGACCAAGAAAGTTGAGCCAAATAAATTTTTTTTTCAATGATGCCAATAAAAACCTAAACTTAAGCACAGCATTTTCCTTCATTTCTAAAGATAACACAATAATTGTATGAAATGGCTAAAATAAATAACCTTCACTTCCACAACATCATTTAGGTCTGAGAAACTTAAGCCTTTCAAAGGAAGAATTTAAGGCTGGATGCTTCATTTATACCCAGAGTAAAACACTATATCCTGCAATGTCTATATAAAATCCCCACAATCAATGCTGTAAAGGCATAAACTAAGCAGAACTTACACTCCAGTTAATTGCATTTCCTGAGGTTCTGAAGAATCCAAATGACCTGTAATCAGATACAATGGATCAGTAAGAGGAATTATTCTTATCCATGCACCCTGTCTTTCTTTTAATCTTCCACGTAATTTTCATTCTATTTCCATATCATACCATATTACTTTCAAAAACTGATCTCTTGAACACATAGCCTCCCCCATAAAACCCAAAACTCATTGCCATCAAGTCATTTCCAACTCATAGTAACCCTTTGAGTCTAAGTAGAACTGCCCCCATGGGTTGCTGAGCCTGTAGATCTTTATGGGAGTAGACAGCCTCATCTTTTTACAACAGTATGACTGGTGGTTTAAAACTGTTGACTTTGTGGTTAGCATAAAACATAGCCCACTAAGCCACCAGTGTGGGGGAGGTCGGATGCTTATAGGCATCCTCCCTGAAGGCAATCGCTGCCAGACTGCTGTCTCGCCCCACCACAGGGGTGGGCCTGCTGCCTACTGCTGGGGACAATGGACTATTTCTCCCTGGAGCTTGCAACCTTTAGCTTGGTTCCTGTAGGTGGGGTTTACAGCCTACTGATAATGGTTCCTATGGAGAGCCAGAGAACAGGTCAAAGTTAAGCTGCCATCCTAAATCTAGGATCCACCCATCTTGTCACATGTATACCCCCAATCCCTCCTCTTCCTATTGCGTGTATGTCCCTAGACCACCTGCTCTTATTGCTGTATAACCTATGGTGCAACCCCTTCCTGTGACATGTCTTTACCTGTAATTAGTGGGCTTGCATGCCCCCAAAAGATACATAGGCCTGGATTAGCAAGAGATCTTCTCTCACCCTCTCTTTCCCCCATCTCCTTTCCCTTCTCTCTTCCCCCTCTCCTCTCCCTTGTTCCCTTTCCTGTCTTCCTCCTTCCCTTCCCCCTCTTTCCACGGGGCTGAGGTGAGAATGCTACCATAAAATGTGTCTGACTCCATTGTTTGACTCTTCTATCGCTCATGCTCTCGATGACTTTAATATAATACTTATATATCTCAACCATACAATTGTGCTAATTAAACCCACGATTAGTGGTGGGGGTTGGCTCCCCCCACCTCATACTACACACCAGGGTTCCTGAGCCTACCCAAATTAACTGAAAATTAATAATGTGCATATGTCACCAAAACAAAAAATGCTGAGAAGCAGTACACTGTGGAGACTTGCCTAAATAGAAACAAAAGCTTATCACTCAGAAACTGAATTTAGAACAAGTCCTAGATGACTGACTAGTAAAACATTCTCCTTTTTAGGCACAGACCTATGAAAATATGTAAGTAAATTTTTGCTGACAAAGTATTTTTTAAGTTGGTGTCTCAGCCTCCGCTGAGATTAGACAAGGGCACAAAATTCATGCCTCAACTGCAATACTTTGATGCCCACCAATCAGTCAATAAAATGTCCTTCGGCTGCTGAGATTCCTATTGATGTTATCACCTTTCTCTTCCTACTCTTCTCAGAAATCCTCTAGGTACTCTCACCATCTTCCATTGCCATCCTACTAGCCTGTCCTCTCCTACATTCCTCCTACTGAGGCCCTTCACTTCCTTAGCCCTACCCAATTCATCAAGGTCTGTCGAAGTGGTAAGCTGAGGGACACCCGTGGCAGACAGCTCCCCGCTGCTAAGGTTCGAAAGATCGAGGCAACGTTTTGGGGTTCCTCTGTCAAGACATAATAGAACATCAAAATTCCCGTTAGGCTATAATATCTTTAAAAGGAAAGATCACATAATTCTCATTTGTAACACTTCTCAGTCCCAACTCAAGAACGACACTACAAGAACAGAGCTGAATGACTCCATAAGGCTTCTGGAGTGCTAGAGTTTTAAGGCAGCGGTTCTCAACCTGTGGGTCGCAACCCCTTTGATGTGTGTGTGTGTGTGTGTGTGTGTGTGTAACGACCCTTTCACAGGGGTCGCCTGATTCTTAACAGTAGCAAAATGACAATTATGAAGTGCAACAAAGATAATTTTATGGTGGGGGGGAGTCACACAACAGGTGGAACTGTATTAAACATAGTGGCATCACAGTTAATCAAGAACAGAGTTGAGACTTAAACCCTTTTCTTAAAATCAGGATTTCTTCTTTTCCCAACAGTTTTACTAGCATATAATTCAATAGTTCAGTCACATCAAGAAGAGTTCTGCAATCATTTTAGAACATTTTCTTTATTCTTGCACTCATCGTTATTAGCTCCCCACTTCCCCCAACCTCCCCTGCCATACCCCTAGGGAATCATTAATCCAGGTACTGTCTCTACAGGTGTACTTATCTTGGATCTTATATACAGGAAAACATATACATATCACATAAAGGATATTTTATAAGCAAACAAGAAACTGTCTACATAAGCACAGGAGATACAGTGTGGATAAAAAAGTAGATTTACCCAGACGAAACGCTTAGGTTTCCCGAATCACCAAGGAGTTGGCCCACCGGAGTTCTCGGGAGATCTGGATCAGTGCTAAAAGAAGTCTCTCTCTGCAGCAGCAGGTTTAACCTTTTCCTCTGACGGAATCGAAAACCAGGCCCGGAGCCAGGGCTCTCCTCCTTACTTGTGGACGGGAAGAGATGAGCAGACATGGTCTCCGAGTTCTCACCGAGAAAAAAATAAACCTACAGGGAAGAAAGTCACCCCATAGGTGCATCAAGGGAACATCCGTGCTGGCGCAACTAGTCCCACCGTCTACAGCAGCAGCCAGGCGGATCAGTGTTGGAGGAGGGGAACCTAACTTACCGAGAGGCAACTCAGGGCTTTAAAGATGGAACGCAGAGGGAGTTTACGCCTTTTGCCTTGTTCCAAGACACACGGCTCCTGAGTCCTGAGCGGAACTCCAGGCCCCAACTCGCGCTAATCCCTATCAAAAGCTTGGGGCTTGCGTCTGCGGGGTCCGAACGGGACCCCAAAGAGGCAAAGGGGTCTCTGTGCCGCTGGGGTGTGGACGGCTCCCGGCCTCACGCGGGTTGGGGGTCTGATTCCTGCCTTCCAGAGAAAAGGATCAGACAGCGAAGCCTCGAGCAGAAATAAAAGTAACAATCTTGGGAGAAGCGGCAATTCACCGGGCAAATATTCTGTTTCTCGGGTGGGCAGGCCGATCAGGCTTCTTTCTGCAAAGAGCGGCACTCTCAAAACAAGAACACCAACAGCCGTACGCCTGGATCGTTCAAACCTTCCACCTTCCCAATAACCTATCCACGTCTGGCTCCAAACGCGTCAGCCGATCCGCGCGCCCGCCAACAGCCCCTCAGCCAATCGTCTGACTCGTACATCAACCCAGGGCGGGAGCTCGCTGGGGAAGAGGGGTTTTGCCCCACCCTGCCGCCAAAGTACGATAACGATTGGCCTACCAGCTGGGTAAGCCCCGCCCCACTGGGAGCCTGTAGCACCACTGGCTGTTCCTGTGGCCAATCGCCACCCTTTCTGCCGTCTCCCACGCCCTAGCTCCACCAACCCCGGGACATTTAAATTGAGATCCATCGTTGAAATAACGGGGGAATTGTGTTTAGTTGGGTTTGGGGTGCAGTTATTTTCTTTCTGCTTTCTAGTGCGGCTTTGTGGACCTTCCCTTCTTAGTTTTTGCTAGCTGTCCGCTGGAGATGGAGCATCTGCCGCCGGTGAGGCAGGTGTTGGAAAGAGACAGGTGCCTATGGTTATGCAAAGCGGCGTCAACCCCCTTCCCAAAGGTTTGGTGACCCTAGGGGCAGCATCTCTGAGACGCTAGAAGATTGTAAAGGGAAGTTTCTTTGCCGGGCAAACAAAATTGAATCACTGCTTGCCATAATCCTTATCACAATTCAAAGATTTCCAAACTTTAGTTGTTATGGAAATTTGGCCCCACTGAAGCAAAAGGAGTCCTAGCGGTTCAGTGGTGCAGTGCTGGGCTGCTCAGGGTCGAAAGAGTTTGAACCACCAGAGGCTTTGTAGGAGTAAAGACCTGGAAGTTTACCACCTAAAGTTTCAGCCCAGGAAACCCAATGGGACACTTCTATTCTGTCAGAGTTGCTGTGAGTTGGCATCCACTCCACAACACACAGCAGATGATGTTAAATTACCCATCATTTGGGGGATTTGCTTTAAGTTTTAAAGTTTAAAATAAGTGCGAAGAAGACATGCAGAAACACGATAGGCTACAGGTGTTAGGTGACAGATACACAAGAACTAATCTTATTAGTTCTTGCCAAAGTTTAATGTGCATACTGGTCACCTGAGAAGCTTGTTAAAATGCAGATTTTGACTCAAACGTCTGGGTTGGGACCCAAGATTACAAACTACTAAAAAAACTCTTAGATAATGCTGATGCGGTTAATCCTGAGACTATCATCCTTTGAGTAGCATGGCATTGTGCTAATCTCTACTGTTGTGTAGGTTTGAAGTTTTCCACGATAAAGATGTTTAAAATAACAAAAGCTTTGAACTAGTTCCCTGCAGTTTGACCCCTGCTGAGAATTTCCATTTCCACCCCAGATATACTGAATCATAAAAGGAGCTCCGGTGGCATCTTAGGACTGCTAACTGCAAGGTTGGCAGTTCAAACCCACCAGCCACTCCTCTGGAGAAAGATGAAGCTTTCTGTCCTAGTAAAGAGTTACAGACTTGGAAACACTAGCGTCCTAGTCTGTTCTATGGGTCTCTGTGAGTTAGAATAGGCTAGATAGCAGTGGGTCTTACTGAATCATAACGCACATTTTAACAAGATGCCCAGATGTATATATAAGAAACATCTGGGGGCTCTTACCAAAATGTAGATTATGATTCAGAATATGTGAGATGGAAAAGCAACTTCTCAGCAGGTGGGCAAATGAATCAGTTTGAAGCCCTGAATATTGTCTTGGAAGCTCTTGAAAATGCAAGAGCCCCAAATTCAATAGGTCTAGAATGGGGCTCAGGAATGATCAAGGCTATCTAGGGTGCTATCAATGCAGATGTTTTACAGACCATACTTTGTGAAACATAAGTCAGAAATGCAACTTTTATCTTGGGGAAGCAGTAAAGCAGAGCTACCACCTTAATCTGGTGTCAGGATCTTGATGGTGGTGGCTGAGAAACATTGTAGTCAGCTGGTTTCTACCCTAATAGACTGCCCCTACATTTACAGATTCGACTTCCCTGGAAAAGACGTGTGTGAGGAGTCTTTGTCCTTTAGGATAGAGATGGTGAGGGTGGGAGTCAACACAGAGCCATGCCATCCCAGGCAAGTCTGAAAATCAGATGGGCTCAGAGAGTATGGGGAGCGGTGGCTCTGCTTTTTGATACTATCATCACATTTTGTGGGACACCCTGTACTTCCCACAGGATGGAAAGTAGAGACAGATGAGGTTGTCCCTCAACGGGGACTGAAGTAGATAGATTATGGCAAGTGCATGCCTAGCTAACAGTACTTTCTGCTGCAAGTCCCCAAGTAAGTGTAATTGTGGGGTGGTCACAGTAAGAGGGTCAACCGAGTTGCTTTGATTCAATGTCAGAGGATGGAACAATTCTAGGATCTGAGTGTTTTGGGTGATCTCACAAAGTTGTAGAATTACTAAAACTAAGTTTCCTGCAATCTAGTTCTAATGTGTTCATCCCCCCACCCCCAGTAGAAGTTGTCACACTTGGCTTATATAACTTTAAAATAGTTTTATTGTGGTGAAATCCATGTAATATTTCAACAATTTTATTTCAACCTGTAACTCAATCTGTAACTCAGTGACATTAATTACATTCACCATTGCTGTGCAACAGTCATCATGATCTATTTCCCAACATTTCTCATCACCCTTAACGAAAATTCTGTTTCCATTAAACATACCCCTATTTTCTTCCTCACCTACTTTGCCCTTCTGTATGGCTTTGCAAAGCTATCTATTTCCTACAGAGTTGATTTTCCTTCCAACCATTTTATCCAAATCTCCTTATACTCTTCCTTGATTTGACAATTGAAACATACACACTTGCCTAATTACATGAGGTTTACATGTACTCATATAAATTGAATGTATGAAAAGGTAGAATGTATGTTAAAGGGACGCTAAATAATGTCGGGGTTTTTCTAACGGTCATTTTATTGGGTTTTTTTACAGCTCCTATAACATTCCATACATCAATTATATCAAGCATATTTGTACATATGTTGCTATCGTTATCTTTGAAACATTTACTTTCTATTTGAACCCTTGGTATCAGCTCCTCTTTTTTCTCTCCTTCCCCCACCCCTACCCCCTCGTCACCCATTGATAAATTATTATTTTCATATCTTAACACCAACCGCTGTCTCCCTTCCCCTCACAGTTTCCGTTGTTTGTCCGTAAATGATGTCTTCTATGTCTTCCTTGATTTCCAAGACAATATCTTTTACCCTTTCCATAAGAAAGACTATCAGAGAAGCTGCTATTTAGTCTGAAGATCTATAGTTTTTGTTGGATTGAGGGCCCTGATTTTACCCATTCTCAGAGAATTTCTAACTGGACCCCTGATATTCTGTGCCGAGAGAGCTGTCCCTGCTCTAAAGGGCCTCTTTTCACATTGACCTCAAGGTGATCCATATTTGTTGTTGCCACAGTGACAGCCCAGCCTTCACCCTGAAACCCCAAACAAGGACAGGAAATACAACCATCACTTCTGGGATGCCCAGATCAAGCAGTGGAGAAGAGCCCCCATTCCTGGGACCCACCTAGCCAGCCCCTGGAGGGCAAGGGGCCTATTGGGTATGTTCATATTTCTGGTTCCTTCAGTGAGTGGGCTGAGCTCTACATCTCCCACTTTGCAAAGGTTTGTCTTTCACTGTGTGCAAAGAGAAGACCTGAATGAAAGGCAAGTTCTCTGACTCTGCTGCTTTCCTAGGCGAAGAACAGAGAGTCTTTTAGAGCCAATGAACTCCACCCCTTTGGATCCCTTGTTGAAGACTGGCTCCAGGCCCTGGTACCTTCAGAGAATCTGGGAGAAGACCAGGTAGTAAGTATCCTCTACTGAGACTTATCAGAGCAGGTCAGAGAAGAGGTCTAGTCTAGCCTATTACCCAAACACCAAACTCACTGCCAATTTTGAGTCATAGTCCACCCTATATGACTCGGTAAAACTGCCCTGTGGGTTTCCAAGACTATAAATCTTAAAGAGATTAGAAATCTTCATCCTTCCCCCCAAGAGCAGCTGGTGATTTTGAACTAACTTTGGGGTTAGCAGCCCAACATGTAACCCAATGCCAACCGGGCTCTTAGTCTAAGCCATAGGGCACAATTAACATGGAGTTGAAGGCAGCAACACAAGAATCAAAGAATGGAGCAGAAAAATACCAGGACATACTCTAAAAAACATGAGAATTAAGAAGAGGGTAGAAGATTTAGAAAGAGCCCTGGTGGCAATATAGTAAAGCACTTGGCTGCTAACTGAAAAGTCAGTGGTGGTGGTTTGAACCCACCCAGTGGCTCCATGGGAGAAAGACCTGACAATCTACTTCTGTCGGGATAACAGCCTAGAAAACCTTGTGTTGTTTTTAGGTGGGGTTGAGTCAGTTCTGATACACAGTAACTCTATGTACAACAGAAGGAAACACTACCTGGTCCTGTACCATCCCCACAATTATGTTTGAGCTCATTGGGTTTTATTCTGTTACATGGGTGACTATGGGTGACACCCTAACAACAAGGAGTTTTAGCTACATTTAGTAATGGGGGCAAGGTCTGGGGCTATACTGGGTGCTATTTTGTACTTGATGAAAAGGTCTCATAACCTTCCTTTGAAACGAGGCTTGAAATCTGATGTAGATGTATATTTAAATGTCTTCATTTCTTTTCAATGTTTTGCAAGTGAGTCAATGCTAGCTTAACTTCCTTTACTCAATCATTTAACTTTTGAGGGTAGATGACAGTCAAAAGGGGAGGAGGAGAGGATGGCAATATAGCCTAGTGCTTTATGTGGCAAGGCGTTAGTGCCCCAGGACTGATTTTTAAAACCATCTTTGCCCACCACTTAAGCAGTTACTTAAACTTCTTGGGCTGTTCGATTTATCAAACAAGGAACGTAATTTTGTCTCTTTGGTGATTGTAAGCAACAACAGCAAAATATGAGAATGTACATTTAAATTATATAGCACAGTGCCCAGCACATACCGTTTTACTTAAATGTTTCACAAATTATTAGCAATCATGTCTCCTGTGCTTTTTCACCAGGGGGAAATAAACAATGCAAGGTAAATCCCTCTCCAACTTTCTTGTAAGTTCCTCACTACTACTCTGCTGTTCTTTTTCAGTTTGCTGAATTGCTGCTGGCTCCTACTGACCACATCTATTTACCTGACTGACACTTGAGTGGGGCACAAATATTTAGAGAAAACAGATATCTTTCACGGGATTTGTTGCTAAGTGTAAATAGTGAAGGTGACTTGCACTACTACCATTTCCCAATTAAAAAAAGAAAACCTAAAACTCTGCCGTACAAAGGGCACAACACACAGGCATTATTTAAAACCCCTCCTTGTTCCATCTGTTTGCCTGTCTCGTTGAAGGTAACTGAGACTCAAATTTACCTGGGCGTCAGAAACCATCTAATTGTTTCCCAACCTCTTCACCTGCTACTACATTCAACCTCTTTTAAAAAGGGTTTAAACTTCGGCCAAGGTGGGAGGTGGGTAGTGCTGGAAGGGGCTTAAATAAAAGGCGGTTTTCTTCATCCTCAAGAGGAAGTAGTGCCATCAACATCTTTGCTCCATCTGCTTGCTTCCTCCTCCCCCTGCCCAATTAAAAAAAAAAAGTGGTTCAGATGTAACCACTGTAACCCTCCACCTCCACCACCACCCACCCCCAGCAACTGAACCGCCTATGATGTCATAATCACAATCCCATTACCTCATCCTGATGGGAGGGGGTTGGACATAGAGGGAGCAGCAGGGGAGATCAGACCTGGGCCTTCCTCAGGTTTAGCAAGTGTTCTGGGTGAGAGCTAATGACAGAACCGAGTGGAAGCGGCTCCGCTTCCGTTTTATGTCCTATGTTTATAAGGTTCGAGCCATTCGGGCGGCTGTAAGAGGGGCTCCAGGGACCCGGAGCAGGCCCTAATCGGCGCTAGGACTACACTTCCCAGCAGCCTTCACGCCTCGGACGGGTCCTTCGCAGAGGGTGGGGGGTCCTTTATAGAAGCGGAGACGTAAGGCAGGACAAGAGAACAGGCGAGAGTCGCGGTGGCTAATACTATTGAGCATCCCGAACCGAGTGAAGAGCCGCATTTGGGCCGATGGAGGCGTAAGAGGGCCCGGGCGACGGCTTTGTTTACCTTTTTCAGGCGTCGCTTCCCCCGCGGGCTTCACGACGTGCCTCCAACTGGGCAAGTCCACCTTCGGCGATATTTGGGGGGAGGGATTCTCTACGGAGGAAACCATTCCCGTCCCCAAATGACAGCGTGAGGCTGGTTCCCGACTGCGCAGTCCGAAAGGGCTGTGAGCGAGCAGCAACGTGGGCCTCAGGCCCTCGCGGGTGGTTCGAGAGGGTTCTTCAGACGGGTGGGATCCTCCACTCTCCTTAGGGGCCTGTTGGTTCGCGCCGGCGCCTTTTAAGGGCACCGTGGGGCGAACGGAGCGCTCAGAGCTGCTCCGGCCGCGGCCCTAGGAGCTGGAGGAGCCGCGGTAGGTGGCGGAGGGCAGGTGGCGCTGGGGCCTTGGGGCGGGCACCTCGGTCGTCCCTCCTCCTCTCCTCTTTCCCTTCCCCCAACCCGGCCGCCCGCGCGGCCCGGCCTTGCAGGCCGTCTCCGCGGGGAGACCACGGGACCCGGTGGGGGAGGGGGTGGCGGAGTGCTAAGTCCCAGACCCTCTACAGCCCCTGCGTCCTGAGTTCGCTTCCTGGCGCCAGATGATGGGAGCTGAGTCGGAAGAGGCAAACGACAGCCCCCTTGAGCGGGCCCTAGCACCCCCTGAGGGGCCAGTGGACGCCCTATGCCCCACCCCGCAGGAACAGGCAGAGCAGCAAAGGGAGAGGTTGAAAATTGGTGGGGGCCTAGCCTTTTGCTTCTTCATCGGGATTGGGGGAGGGGTGCACCCCACTTGTCACCCCTGTCCCTACCAGAGCCGTATGGTGGAAGAACAGTCAGGTCCCTTATTACCTGTGCCTGCGCCTCCCTGCCTCTCCTGTTTTTCTTTAGTCTCCCCCAGAGGTGTGGGGCTGGGACCTGGGGGGAAGGTCCCCAGGGCATCTGTGATTCTCCTCTCCCTTGGCTTGGCTTGATCCTAAGGTTCCCCCGGTTTCAGCACACCCTCAGCACCCCCCCGGGGCCTGAGTGGCAGTGGAGACTGCTATGCATGGGAGTGGGGTGGGGGTCTGGTCTTTATTTTAGGGGGCTGCTGATGGAGGGCAAGGCTGGACTGAGTTGGGCCTGGTGAGGTGGTGGGGAGGGCCTAGCGGCCTGCTCCTCAGGAAAGGGCTAAGCCCTGTGCCAGTTGTTAAGCTGAGAAGTTTTAACTTGTTTGGTGAACGTTCAGGGCTCACTCTACCCCCCACACCCCAAAGAGACAAAATGGAAGGGGAAGGAAGGCGGCCAGAGAGAGCTACTTAGACTTTTCCAATGCCTGCCTGAGAAAGGAGGCCCCTCGCGGAGCTGGTTTGCCTTCTTTTGTGTCCTGGTTTGATTCCTTATGGCTTCCGTTCTGTTCCCCCTCTCAGCCTGGCCTGTTTTAGGAAACTCAGGCTGAGAGTATCAGCTGTGTGGTGGTGGTTGCATTGTTCCAATTACCGCTGTGTGTGGCCACATCCCAACAATTAAAATGCAGAAAAACACAAACTCACTCTCTTCACTTGATCCCAGAGAGGGCTGTTTGGCCACATGCCTCATGAAAAGCTCGAAAGAGTTTGCCTCACCCCCTCTCCTCATGGCTGGTCAGCTTGAGGCCTAGGGTCTCTGGGGTAAAAGCCTGCCTTCAGGTTCCCCCTCTCGTAGCTCCTTGAGGGCAGAGTTAAGAAATCAAGAGCAGAAGTGATATTGCCACGGGAACATAGGGGAAGCAACTAAAGGCAGCTCTCAGGAAGCTAGGACTGTGTTCAGGGTGTAATAATTATGCATGAAAACGATAGTTAACTGTAATGATGATTGACTTCTCTGGCACCTTTTCCCCAAAGAACTCCCAAGTAACATTCAAATGTATTCGTTTTTGCCCTTCCTTGTGTTTTGTGGCCCTCCTCCTGAGGTGGGACTGGAATAGGATGATTTTTTTTCTTTTTTCCAAAAGTAGCGTGATCTGCCCCCAAGGTCACAGCAGAGCCCTCTTGGGCTTCTGTTGGTACCCAGCCAGAAAGATAGACTCTATTGCCTTCTTCATCTTAATGATATCATCGCTTCTGGCATCCCGAGGCCTTGTAGAGTAACAAACAGGAGGGGGTGAGAAACGGCAGCCTATGTGGACTCCTGATTTGTACAGGCCAGATGGTATGCTGCTTGTACATTTTTCACATTGCATGTTATATCCTTCCTGCTATAGTTTACGATTATTCTGCCCGTTTTACATATGGGTAATCTGAGGCCAAGGCAGGTTCAAGGATTTGCTGAAACTGTGCGGAAGTTGGATCGAAATTTAGATTCTTGATCCTTTGTTCTCCCTACTAGCCAAAACGACGTGCATCATCTGGTGAATTGTCTGCCTGCTGGTCATTTTGGGGAATGGGCAGAACAAAATGATGGTGACACTAGGCTAACCTTCCCATTTCCTTGAGCAAGGCCCCTTGGGCAACTGTGTAGACTTGAAGCCTGCCCTCTGATGAATTGGTTTGCTTCTATTAGAAATTGCCCCTAGAAATTAATCAAGAAGAGCATCTTACTTGTGTTCATGGTCCTTGAGTTAAACACTTTGTTGAATGAAATCATAGAGGAGGAGTTGTTACTGTTGTTTTAATATCTGTAGAGTTGAAATCTGATGAGAATTACCCTGTTAGCAGTCCTTTATCCTATTCCCATTTTACCAACAATTGCACACAGTATCTGTTGGGAAACAATTATATATATATATAAATCAGCTGGCCAGGCTAAGGGAGGATTTACAATCCTGTTTATTCTGACTGGTCTAAAGCAGAAAGTCATTCTTACAAGCAGCATTCCCTCATTATTCTATAGTCTAGGAGAAGGGTGTTCTACTCTCTTTGGACTCTGGCTGGAAGATTAAGAAAATATTGAGTTAATCAGGATAAGAATTAACTATTTGGGCATCCCTTTATTTTCTTTCAGCTTTCTGTGTTGCTGGGGTTCTGGGTAGACTCAACCAAGCATGAACCAGGTTAGGAGTGGCAAATAGGTTTCAACTTGCTTGTCAACTCCAGTTCGGATTACTGGCTCTTTAGAGTGCCAAGTTCAAATGTTTTTTGAGGCTATGTTCTGAGACTGTTTAGACTTAGCAGGAAAAAGCTGTGATCAATTAATAATGTCTGCCAGAGTCATAGGGGTGCTGTGGTATGTGTGCCATGCATTTTCCATCTCTAGACCAGGTACATCTCTAATATCACTTGGGGCTGGTCCCTCTGTAATTGGCAGACTCAGCAGGCATGACTGGAGAGGGAAGTCCCAATGGTGCTAGAATGGTGCTGCAGTGGCAGAAGACGGCTCACGAGTGAGGTCTGGAAGAACGACAGGGAAGACATCCATCATTTGCTCCAAAGTGTGCAAGTCAAATCCTGGGGAGAATCATGATAACCCTGATCACTGAGCAACTACAGAAGCAGACTCTGGATGAGCTGAAATGCACACGCTTCAGCATCAGTCTGGTAAAAGACCAGTCTTCCTGCTTCTCCACGACCCCCCTTCCTTTTTTTCTGAGGCTAGTTGTTGCTACTACTTCATTCACCCTTGTCCTGTGCTATATCAGTCATAGTACTTGTCCTGGATGAGCCCACTAAAGGCTCAAAGCCTGGCCCAAAAGGAAGGGGCAGGGATGATTTCACTGATAGAGAAGGGACACAAAACTTGGGTGGAGAGGGTTTGAGGTATTGGAAGATGTGAATTGTTTCACCGGCTAACTTTGGGAAGATAAGCGGAAGAGAAAACCTAGGAGCCCCTTACATCCCTGCAGCCCACACATTTCAGGGATGAGCTGAAGAGGGCTGCCTGCAACTCTATCAGCATGTCCCAAACCCGAATGACTGGATATTCTTTCTCTCTCAGCCTTTGCCTGATCATGCAGACATATCCACCTGTGGGGACCCTTTCCAGCTTGTGTCTGGTAAGGCGAGTGCGCGCTGCCATCAGCTCCCTAAAAGTAACTTCTTTTATTAATTTCTTAAAGATCCAGCCAGAGTTTCTTTATACCAACAGAAGCAGTAGACTGGGGGGTGGGTGGGGGATGAGCGGTTTGTAAAGTTTATGGTAAATTCCATTATCTTTTATTCCATTTTCCATGAACTTTTGAAACCCCTTTGTAATGTATATTGTTATCTCCACATTTTTATTGAACACAAAAAATTTGCATGATACATTTTATTGTATATTTTATTCTTTTCACTTATATTTCCATTAAGTATGTTGACTAATTCCTTGTTTTTAATAGCTGTGTATTGCACTTTATAGATGTCTCATGGTTTATTTAACTGATCTAGTGGTAATCGTTTAGTTTATACCCTGTCTTTTATTATGGCATATAAAACTCTACCTGTGACATTGTGCATATGTAAAAATCTGAGGTATAAATTCTTAAATGTGGCTTAATCAAAGGGCCTCTGATCAAAGAGACATTTCTTTAAGGAGGGCAACCTGCACCCTCTAATCCATGCCAGTAGGTCACTCTGCATCCTGTTTTATTTTCTGGGAGACCTAGCAAGCGAAGTGAGTTGGCAAAAGCATCTCATTCAGCTCTGCCACTTCTCTGTGCAATACTTGCCGAGAGTAGGTACTGTGCCATATGCACCGTGGACACGTGGTTCCAGTTCCCATGGAGAGGAGTAGTGGGGAGAGTTATTGCTCAAAGTTGAGTCTGAGTTTTCTCCACCATCAAGTCTTAGTTTGGTATACTTGTCAGTTACTTCAAATAGCCAGCCCTGCAAAGACCAGCCAGCTAGCCAGAGAAAGATGGCGTATGCCCTTTGTCCCTTAATGAGGTGTTTCCTGAAAGTCACAGTTTGGGATAGAATGCAGTGAGGGCTATGCCATTTAGTCACTTTGCCTTTCCAGCCCTATGTCTCCCCATTCTGTTTGGATGTGAGAGGCGGCCTCGGGACAAAGAATTGGTGTGCGGGTGGCCAGACAACAAAGGAACATAAACTCCCTGCCATCGAATTGATACCGACTCATCGCAATCCTACAGGACAGAGTAGAACTCCCCCTGGGTGTAACTGAGACTGTATCTCTTTATGAAAGTGAAACGCCTTGTCTTTCTCCTGACAAAGGAACACAGGCAGCATTAAGTCTTAGGGTTTCCCAGGCGCAGGTTCCTCTCTACCCTGTTTGCCCCACTTGATTACTTCTTTCTTCTTGGCAGCACCCTCCTTATCTCTTGGTGCTGTTAACACAGCACCCAGAACGGAAGGAGAGCATAGGCCTGCTTTTCATAGCCCTGGCTGGGGGACACCGAGTAGGGATGGGTGGCGTGGGGTGAGGAGTACACAGCATACCCCTCACCCATGCGGGTCTGTTTTGCTTACCTTGGAGAGGGAGGGAGTGGCAGACAATATATGAAAGTGTATTTGAGACTTCAGGTAGCATAGGGGTTAAGGAATCTGCCATTTGCAGCCCTTAGCTGTGAATCCTGCTTTGTTCCTTTGATTGCTGTGTAACCTTAGGCAAGCTACTGGACTCCTGTCATCTATGAAATGGAGATAATAATAGGTCCTACATCATAAAGCTTGAGGGAAGAATGAATGAGATCGCCTACCTGAAGTGCTCAATGCTCGCTATAAAATGTGTGGCACATGGTAAACTTGTGCATAATGATCACCGTCATTAACGTTATTGTTCCTGTGACTGCCTTGCAGAAGGTGCTTCCTGGAGGGGCCTGCCCCACTGTTCCTGTGCCGAGTTCCCTGACAGCCTCAACCTCAGCTACCATTCGTCTGGCTTGAGCCTGCACCTCAGACTACCCAGCCGGGGAAGCTCCCCACAGGAGCAGTCCCTCCCCCAAGTCCTAAGTCCTGAGCCCCCAGACCCAGAGAAGCTTCCTGTGATCCCCACCCCTCCATCCAAGAGGCACTGCCGCTCACTCTCAGTGCCCGTGGACCTGTCTCGCTGGCAGCCGGTGTGGCGGCCCGCCCCCTCCAAGCTGTGGACTCCCATCAAGCACAGGGGCAGTGGTGGAGGGGGCGGGCCGCAGGTGCCTCACCAGAGCCCTCCGAAGCGGGTCTCCAGCCTCAGGTTCCTCCAAGCTCCCAGTGCCTCTTCTCAATGTGCCCCAGCCCACAGACCCTATAGCCCCCCTTTCTTCAGCCTTGCCCTAGCCCAAGATTCTTCTCAACCCTGCGCTGCCTCCCCACAAAGTGGTTCCTGGGAGAGTGATGCTGAGTCCCTGTCACCTTGCCCACCCCAGCGCCGCTTCTCCCTGTCACCCAGCCTGGGCCCACAGGCCAATCGCTTTCTACCCTCTGCCCGGAGCTCTCCCGCATCCTCCCCGGAGCTGCCCTGGAGACCCCGAGGCCCCCGGAACCTTCCCCGGAGCCGCTCCCAGCCTTGTGATTTGGATGCCCGAAAAGCTGGAGTCAAGCGGCGGCACGAGGAGGACCCCCGACGGCTGCGACCTTCCTTGGACTTTGACAAGATGAATCAGGTGGGTTGGCAGGACTTTCCGAGCCAGGAAATGAGGGGACAACTCTGTTCTGGTGCGAGCTATCTCTAGCTTCAAGCCCTGTTGGTAGGGCCTCCCCTGAAGCTCGCTCTCTTCTGTCTGTGCTTCTGCTAAAGTCACCCACCATCCTGGTTTGCCCAAGGTTGTCTGGGTTTTAGCAGAGAAAGCTTCACATTCTGAGAACCTTTCAGACCTGGATGCCACAGAGTGAGATCTTTATTAAACGATCCAATACAAATACCAGGGGCCCCTGCCAGAGGCACCTTTCCTTCCTTGGAAGAGGCATCAGTGACAAAAATCCCATCATCAGTGCCCCAACCCCCCTGGTGCTCAATGCTGCTGCCGCCACTTGCTCTTTGCTGCTTCGTGTGGGGTTTAAACAAGCCAGCCTGCTGCATCCTTCATCTGTTGAACAAATGGTTTTTGACTTCTCACTATGAGTGCAGTTGTTGTGTGCACTTGCTCACTTTCTCACATTCATTCTTCTGGACCACTGGGTCACAGACCAGAATTTATTTATTTGTTCATCCTGGCTTCCAACCACCCGGCAAGCATACGTCGGAGACCTACAACGTCCCAGCTTCTGACTTGATCCTGGGAATGCATTAGTGAAACACGGAGACAGTATCCCTGCCCACAGAGAGCTTTATGACACGGGTCTAATCTTGAATCTTGGAAACTATGGACTGTTTCTTCGCCCCCCTCAAGAGAAATGTGCAAGCACACTAAATTTTCCAGATTTTGTCAGGAAACTGACAGACCTCACCCTAAAGCCTATGACTCCTACCTTCAAGAGTAACCGAAAGGGACAGTGAGATACCACTTGGGCCAGGGCAACAGGGGCAGTTAGCTTCTTTGCCTCCTTCTTACTTTTGTTTGTTTGTTCAACAGAAACCGTACTCAGGAGGTCCCTGTCTCCAAGATGCAGCCCAGGAAGGCAGCAGCGTTTCTCCGCCGTGGTTCATGGCCTGTAGCCCCCCACCCCTCTCTGCTTCTTGCAGCCCCGTTGAGGGTTCTTCCCAGGTGCTGAGTGAGAGCGAAGAGGAGGAGGAAGAGGGGGCCGTGCGGTGGGGGCGACAGGCTCTAAGTAAACGGACACTGTGCCAGCAGGACTTTGGGGACCTGGACTTGAATCTCATTGAGGAGAACTAAAACTGAGAGGCACCTTCCTGGGGCCACACAGACTGACTCTCTTATGGCTACTAACAAGTGTCGAGGCCCCGAGGCCGTGGGCCCAGCCTGGGAACGGGGGTGAGTGGAGGGCTCCGACTCAGGGCAGCCGGAAATCTTCTCGCTCCTGGAAGTGCGACCATGCCGAGAGACTGGCTGGGACAAGATAAACGGAGCTGGTGGCGGGAGGGACAGCCCCAGAGCAGACCCTTTCCATGGCGGCCCTGAGAGTGAGTATCCCTGCCCCTGAGAAAGTGATGGGCAGGGAAGGAAGGGGTCTGCTGACCCCAGCTCGGGGAATTTCACTAGCCCCTTTGCTTCAAAGGGCACTGTGTCTTAGAATTTGGCCAGGGTGGGGGGGGTTCAGTCAGCCTCCTCTGAGGAATTGTGTGAGAGTGTGTGTGTGCATGGGCGTTTGTTCAAGTCAAGGTGTGTTTGCAGAGCCTTAGGGAAGGAAGGCTTTTGCTCCTTCACAGCAGAGCATCCTGATACCCCAGGATCCTGCCTTTTCACCTGACAGTAGGCTTGCATAAGGAGTTAAGAGGGCACCAAGTTTTCCTTTTTTTATAAATAGCTCTGGAGCCAGGCTCGTAATCTGCAAGCCTTCCCTACCCCCCCACCCCCACCCCCACCCCCCGGGCTCTGCAAAGGACTCTGTTTTGGGTCCCTGAAGTGCTATGATCTCAGCTAATGGACTTTGCCTCATCCCCTACCCCTTAGGTGGATGTTGGATTTAGGGGTTGGAGGGGAGTTTCCACATTTGGAGCTGGCCTTTTTTTCCCCTTAGCAGATTGCCTCAGCTACACGTATCCTGCCTCTGTCACTTTTGAAGGAGAGTCAGGCACCTGTGGGCAACGGAGGCCGTTATGAAGGGCTCCATCCTGCCCTTCCCCTCTGACCTTGGAGGGCATGGGAAAGGGAGGAAGGCCTAGTATTGGTTCCAGGCTCCCCAGGAGGCAGACGTGCAGTAGGAGATACCATGTTCAGGCCTCACTGGTCCGGGTGAACTCATCCCATCACTGCCCTTTAGAAGCAGGCTGGGAAAAGCCTATTTGTGTGGGATCCAGGCCCAACCTCTTTTTGGACCTGCTTAAGAAATGGGTGTCAGCATTTACTAGTTTGCTTGTCTTCCACTCTTGCCAGGAAATGTTTATTTGACTCTAATTGGCCCTGAGAGACCACAGGGAGCTTGGGGCTCACTAAGGGACTGGCCGAGGAGGAGCACAGCAAAGGCTGTGAGGAGCAGTTGGGAGTTTGTTGTTGTCGGATTGGGTTTCCTTTTTTTTTTTTTTAAAGTTTTCCACCCACAACGTGAGCCAGGGCAGCAGGTCTCAGTGGCCACGGTGACACCGTGATAGGTGTCAGAACTGCAGTCACCATGCGAGGGCTGGCACGAGTGGAAAGGTATACTGAAGCTACCACTCGGTTGTGGTTGCTGGTGAGGCTTTATCCAGCTTTGGTTAAACCTTGCAGGACCAAATTGGACCTGCTTCTCCTGGTGATTCGGAGAAAAACCATTCTCTTCTCACTTTCCAGGGTGTGTTAGGACCCCTTGTGCTAGGGGGAAAAGACTAAGATCTCTTAATTTCTTCCTTGTGGAGTTGAACCTGGCATTTTCTAGGTCTCAAAGAAGAGCAGCAAGGAGGCTCCTGCCTCCTCGCCTGCACTACAGAGGAGAGAGGTGGCCATGTCTTCTTGCGCTTCTGCCACTCGGAGGCTCTACCCTTCCAGGGCTCTTCTCCTACTAGTTACCACACACATTACCCAGGGGCCACCGGGTCTGGGGGCACGCCTGAGAGAACTGCTCTGAAGAATCCAGGGAAACTGAGCCTAGGAGTTGACCATCCTCAGTTTCATTTCTTCCCTGGCTCTTCTCCCACTTCGGGCCATAATCCAGGCCATAATTTCCCTGGTGCCAGCTGCTTTTCTCCTGGGGCACCCTCATCCCTGGACTCTGCTGCAGATTGGCTGTGCCAGCTTCCATTAGGCCACTGGCAATGCCAGGGGGTCCTCTGCAGGCCCTAAGCTAAAGAAGTGAAGGCAGTGACCTCTGCCTCCATCCTGGCTTCCCCCAAAGCCTAGGGCAACCTCCTTAGGGGAGAAAGTCTATAGAGGCTGTAGTGAATTCCATTTAAGACTGGAAAGTTAAACTGGCCAGCACTTATCATCTTGCTTCCCAGTCTAAGCGCCCTCACCTTTGGGACAAGCCTTTTCAAGAAGTGGTTCATTTTGCTTTACACAATAGATCTGTTTCAACAGTTCTGTGTAAACCAAATGCTATTTTTCAATGCATTTGGACTGCTGACCATTTAAAAGCAGCCTATGATTGCTTTTTTTGTAAAGCAAGCAACCTCCCTCTACCTTAGCTGTTTTGACTATTTGGATTTTCACATACTGGGCTTACCCAGAGCAGAGCACACCTCTCCAGGGCTGTGGTTGATGCTGGGTAGCCATCTGCATCTGTGCTGTGTGTGTGGTGTGGCTGACCAGTAGGTGAGTATTCCTGCGTGCGTGAGTGAAGCCACTCCCAGGCTGGTGCTCTCCTCCTGTGCCCGGTGACTGCCCAGTGGCAGCTCCAGCTGCCCTTCACTCCCACCTGCTGCCAAAGTCCCTGTGCTAATGGGATTACAAATACAAAAAGTGAAAAAACAAAAAAATTTTTCGTAAACTTTGTTTTATATTAAAAAAAAAATCCATAAGTCTGTGTGTGTTAAACATGAGGTCCTGCCTCTGTGGCTGTGTTTGAAAAAATAAAGTTTTATTAGAATAACCCATTTTCCCAATCAACTTTGTGTACTACAGTGTCTTCTTCCCTTCCCCACAAAGAAAGGCAAGAAGAAGCAGTCTGGGAGAAGGCCACCTCACTTCCAGCCCCTTCTTCTAGCACATGGTTGGGCGTTGGCCCTTGGAGGGCAGCATCAGTTCCCTAAGCCCTTCAGGCCACAGCAGGTCATAACGTATAGCCCAGGCATCTGTTAAGGCCAGGGTTATTTCTAGCAGTCTGGTTTGCTCTGTTTCCCTGATGCTTCTACCTGTCTCCCCTTCTGCCATTCCCACTTCGAGCACGGTGAAGTCAAGTAAGAATACATTCCAGCCCCTTGAGAAATGCTTGAAGGTGTGGTCAGGAACTTGGTTTGTAGGTTAGGGGAGGTGGGTAAATGGTAAAGTGGGAGACTTCACCAGGCATCTCTTAAGGGATTTCATGTTGGGTCCTGGAAAGATGGAGAGATCATCATCAAAATTCAGATTCCAAAGACCTAGGCAATTTCTCCATCCTGAAAACATGGCTATTAGGAAATTTTCCTAGCAGCAGAGCTTCTCTTTCTCCTAGAAGATATTTTCCCTTGTTTTAATGTGCAGTGTTTGTTTGCTGAAAGGAGCTGTGTGGCTTTCTCTCTTGACCTTTCTATTCCACCCTTTCTTCTCCCTATGTTAGCATTCTTCCAAAGTGTGTGGGTGAAGTGTAGCTGCTTAGAGATCTAGGCAAGGAGCCTCTCTCCCTAAGGCTTAGCCTTTCTTTACCAGTTGTGGTGCCTGCTTGTCAGGCGGCTACAAGAGTCCAGTTGCTTAGCCTACATTCCAGTTTCCTCCTTCAACTGGGGGCACGCATCATTGAATACCAAAGAAGAAGTGTGCAGGAGGACAGGATTAGTTTTGACGACCTGGAGCAGAAACCTTTCAGAGGGTGAAGATGTATCGTAGAGTGGTAGCTGTCACCTGTCCTGTTTTGTTTTTGGTTTTTGTTTTTGAAGGGGGACAGTTTGATGTGTGGTTGGAGAAGCTTAGAATTATAGTGTTGTGTGTTTTCTTTAAACCCCCTTAAAACTGCTGTTAGGTTTCACTTAACTGTTAAAGCAGGGGGTAAATGTTGACCATTTAAAGTTATTTTCTCCCCCCACACCCATTTTCTATTATTTTGAATTATTTCATTGGGTTTTTCTACTGTTTATTTTACATGACTGAGTAGGATTTTATTTTCCATTCCTGGTAGTATAGGAAAGAATGTAAACTCCATGAGGACAGGTTTTGTTTTATTCTCAACACACACAAAAAATTGTTAAATAAATTTCCCACCTCTGCCCCTCCCCTCCTGGATATTAGGCACATTTCTGTGATGGGTGCTGGGAAAAGGAAGCTTTGGACACTGGCTCCATGGGAGGAACATCCCAGCAGTAAACTTGTATAGGAAAGTTTCAAGGCACCAGGTCCTGTATGGATTCACCCTCGTCCCCTTCTACCAACTATAGCTTGTTCCAGTCCAGACCCCTCTTGAGCACTTTAAGTTAGGGTTGGCAGGAACAGGGGACAAGTCTTAAGTAAATGTTTCATTGTTCTGGAATAACTTCCCCAAATATATTTTTATTAATGTCAGAAGTTGGTGGCCCCCAACCTTTGCTGTAAGAAAAGTTGGTCAGGGTTGTTGAGAGGTTCAGGACAGGAGATAACTTGGCAGTCACAGAAGTCTTGGAGAAAGAACAAACTACTGAAAGAATGGCCACTGCATCCTTGAAACTATGGAAACTTACTGAGTTTCTCAGGCATTACCAAGTTAAATGAGGTGCCCTGCTTGGTGGTTGAGTCAGGACTACCATAGTAATCTAGCCCCAAATCTAGCATTTTCCCTTCTTTACAGTCCCTTTTCTAGTAACAACAGGAGCTAACAAATATCATCTGTAGCAGATACTTGATGTATGATGTGATGCTACAGAACCAGAAAAGAGAATCCTTCACCATGGCTTTTTCAGTTCCTCTAAATTTTGAGTTGAGAAACACCTGGACTTACTCCATAACATTAGCAGTGTGTGAAGGGGAAGTTCCATGGGTTTAAGATAAAGACCAAGATGTTGGCACATTGGCCTTCAGCCAGTGGAAACTGTCATTATCACATTCAATGGATGTAACAGATTGGCCAATGGGAAAGGAACCTATGCAGTAATTATTTTCAGTATAGAATGGAGCTGCAACAATTGTGAGGGTGGCATAGGACCAGGTGGTATTGTGTTCTAATTAACATGGGGTCGCTATGTGTCAACTTGACCCAACGGCGGCACCCAAAACCAACAGAATGGAAGAGAGGTCTTGGGTGGTGTGATGGTTGACTTGCTTGGCTAACTGGAAGGTTGGAAGTTCAAATCCACCCAGAGGAACCACAGAAGAAAGGGCTGGCAATTTGGCAATCATCTTCCCGAAAGTCATTGAAAAACCCCTTTGGGGAAAAAAAACACAACCCTTTGGAGCATGGTTCTATTTTGACACACAAAGGGTTTCCATGACTTTGAATTGACTTATGGGGCAACCAGTTTGACTTATGAAATGGAATGGCATGTCAGTTATGTATCAATGGGGAAGTCTTCTCAAAGAGGATAAGGAAAGGTAGCTTAAATTTTTTAAATAGGAAATCAATGGGGTATGGGCTCTGACTACTTAATAAAAAATCCGCCCAATAGATAACTTGCCCCTTAGTTCCCCCACCTAAATAGAAGTCTTTGGTTCCTGAGAAGGGTCAACTAAAGAGAGGAGCCCCCCTCGGAAGGAAAGTTGGGACTAAAGGTGCTGTGAGGGACTGAAGAACCTGCCCACCCCCCAACCACGGCCGCACCTGCAATTCCCCTCCCAGCCGCAGGGGGCACTGCAGGTTGGGGCGGAGCGCTACGAGGGGCCCGGAGCTGCTGCCCCGCTCCAGAGCGCGGGGGGCGCTG